ATTAAACTTAAACTAATTTAAAAACTTTAAATTAAAATTAAAATATTAATTATAAAAACAAATTAAACTAATTTGAGTCAGCTTGAGCTGGCTTTAACAGCTTTTTTAAGCTGAGCTAAGCCAAGCCAGCCATTCCTAACCCTACGTCACCAACAAAATTTTTACGCTCACGTAATATCTGACAAAATTCTTTAAGTCCGTTTAAGTGTCTATAATAGTAAAATCGTTCGAGAATTTTCCTGATCGTGTAACGTTACACTAAATCGAGATTCATTATTGGCTTATCTTCGTGAACGGGAATAACCGACGTAAAACATTTCTGATACATCTAAACATGCCCTAAAATTTCCATACTTTTTACTAACTTTTACTAACAACGTGCAACCTTCTTGGTTAGTTTTAGGGTATGTTTAGATCAGTGTTGTCAATTTCTTGTTCTATTGGCAAAATTTATATTCTATCCTAATTTCTCTATTTATTTATTACTATATTATAATCTTGTTGGCAATTTTTTGTTCTATTGACAAAAATTTTACTCAATTCTAAATTCTATTGCTCTATTCTACATATTGTTTTATTGTTCTATTCATCTATTGCTGCCAATACTGGGTTTAGATGTATCAAAAAAGTAGGTGTAGGAGTATCAAAAATGTATGTTTTGCACTACCGACACAGCATACACGTGATCTAATTCCAGAATTTTGCCTTATTCTAGCACTAACCTTAACGTTAACTATAGTGCTGGTCAACGTAAAATCATGTGATCCCAATTAAATTAAGCGAAAGTCTACGGACACGTACAAGTCACTTGAAATCGTACGTACCCTAAACTAAGATCGGCGATTGGTACGTGTTCATAACATTTAGATAGGTTAGGGTCATGTGACTGGTACGTGTCCGTAGACTTTCCGTTAAATTAATTACAAGCATGTGATACCCGATGCCCAAACCCTAATTACATAAAAAAATTTATATGGCATTGTAATGATCTTTCTCTTTCAGAATAGCCAAAAATACTGTCATGGTAATGTCATCCATCTAGATCAAATCAATTTAGTTATCAATATTAAAAAAAGAAAAAAAAAGTTTTTCGCTAGGGATCTTAAAAAAGAATTTGCTTGTAAACAAAGACTAACATTAGAATGGAAAAAATTTTTGTGTTGTTCGAACAACCATTAATAGGCTCCTGTTAAAGTATTCGAACTTCGTCCAAAGCAAAAAGAGGAATTATTAAAGCAACTTGAGGAACTTAAACAAGAATTAGCTACACTGAAAGTTCAGAAAATTGCTGGCGGTACCGCTTCAAAGTTAACAAAATTGTAAATATTAGTCCTTTAATAGATTTTTTTCATTGATCACTTAGTAAGATCATTTAAATTTTCTCTTTTTAATATATAGACGTGAGGTTCGTAAGTCCATTGCCAAGGTCAAGACCATTATTTCGCAAAAACAGCACGACAATCTACGAAGTTTCTATAAACGTAAAAAATATGTACCACTCGATCTTCGACCTAAAAAAACTCGAGCTATTCGACGTAAATTGACAAAGGTATGGATTTGTATGGACTTCAATTTTCGATATTTTTATGGTTATTATTATATTCAAACCTTGAAATTAATTTGTAGGATGAAGCATCAAGAAAGACCAAACGGTAAGATTGAACTGATTTCTATTTTTTTTTTTTTTTTATCAAACTAATTTCATGATATTTTTTCCAGTGCTCATCTTAGATCAATCCATTTCCCTCAGCGTAAATATGCGATCAAAGCATAGTCAAACTTTTTATGATAAAAGAGAATAATTTCTTATCGTATGGTACTAAGATTGTTGCATGGTGACGTGATGGATAGCAATTTCTGATCTTATACATGAATAAATTCAGTACATTATAATGGAGACATGAATACTGTGTTGTTTTTCTTTGAATGCTAAAAAAATCTTTAAACGTAAACCAAAATTATCATAACTTAATATGATGCTAATCAACTACTAAAAAAATTTTTAAGCCAATGACATTGGATGTTAGAATAGATTAAGCTGCAAATTCTTCGTCCTCTTGCAATTTACGTGTATGTTTATTTACAATCGTTAAAACACTTTAAAATGTTCAATTGAATTATTTCATCAATCTCGCGTAAATTGATTATAAATTAGCGTCAGTTATCAAGATCGTACTTACTGTTCAATCGTTTTATTGCCTGTTCGAATGTGAACTTTTTTGCCGTCGCCTAAAAATAAATGTGCATTATTATATTTCTAAAAGGAATGAAATTAATATTGATACACATACTGTAAGTGATACTAATTCTAGGTTCTTTTTTTGTATCTGATAAAATTACTGTATTGATAATGGCATTCGGATTAGCAAGACGAGCTTTATCAGTCATTATTCTATTGAGAAATAGTCTGCAATTTATTGGATCAAAATCAAAATTTTATAATATATTAAAGAAAATAAGTTGATATGCATTTTGTACCTGGACGATTTAGAAGCCTTTGAAAAGGGAGCGAATTTTATATCTACGTGATTTATATACTTTAACATTTTTGTTTCGAAAAACAAGAATAAAATTTTTCTATTTATTGCCCGAAGGGCAGGCAATATGGTTACACGAACGTGTGACAACAAATTACAGGTTTTGATTGGTTGATCGGATCACTTATAAAATTCTAGATAACAATAAAACTGATGAACTTAAGGGTAGGGTGTAATACATATGAAATCGGTGGTAGATCATTTTTGTGTAATAATAAGGTAAATCGAACACCTGACACTGATCCAGAATATTCTACATACATACGTACAGTAGAACGCCCGATGATCATTTTTATAGTAAAATATATAAAAAAATTTTTTTTTTTGGTATTAAGGTAAGGCCTTGCTTATATCTTTATTAATAATTTAAAATAGTTACATATAT